GGATCCCACATACAGACCGGCCGCTCACTGGCTAAGCGAGGTGCAGGCGCAACACTGAGGTTTGCGATCCCGTTGCCGGTCCCGGTCCGGTACGGGCGCGGCACTGAGGGTTGCGATCCGTTGCCGGTCACGAAAAAAGACAAAAAGGAAAAAAAAAAAATCAACTGTATTTCTATACACTTGCAATGAATAATCCAAAAAAGAAATTAAGAAAAAAATTCCATTTACAATAGCCTCAAAAAGAATAAATTATTTAGGAATAAATTTAACAAAAGAAATGCAAACCTTATACTCTGGAAACTACAAAATACTGTAGCAAGAAATTAAAGAAAATCTAAATAATGGAAAGATACACTCATAGATGGGAAGATTTAACATTGTTACGATAGCATTAATGTCCAAAATGATCTACAGATTCAAAGAAAACCCTATCAAAAGCCCAGCTGGGGGCCGGCCCGTGGCTCACTCGGGAGAGTGCGGTGCTGATAACACCAAGGCCGTGGGTTAGGATCCCATATAGGGATGGCCAGTTCGCTCACTGGCTGAGCATGGTACTGACAACATCAAGCCAAGGGTTAAGATCCCCTTACTGGTCATCTTTAAATAAAAAAAAAAAAAACCCAGCTGGCTTCTTTGCAGCAATTGACAAGCTGATCCTAAAAGTCACACGGAAATTCAGGGGACAATAGGACAAAAACAATTCTAAAAAAGGACGAAGTTAGAGAACTCACACTTCCTGATTCCAAAACCTACTACACAGCTATAGAAATCAAGACGGTGTGATACTAGAATACAGTCAGACATATAAATCAATGGAATAGAATTAAGAGTCTAGAAACAGATTCTCACATTTATGGTCAATTGATTTTCAACAAGAGTACCAAGCCAATTATGTGAGGAAAGAATAGTTTTTTCAACAAATGGTGCTGGAACAACTGGATATCCATATGCAAAAGAATGAAGTACCTCACACCTCATACAAAAATAACTCAATATACCAAAGACCTAAATGTAAGAGATAAAACTCTTAGAAAATATAGGCGTTAATCTTCATGACCTTAGATTTGGCAATGGTTTCTTAAATATGACACCCAAAGCACAAACAACAAAAGAAAAAGAATATACGTCATTGAAATTTAAAAGTTGTCTGATTAAAAAGACAACATCAAAAAAGTAAAAAGACTGGGCCCGCCCGGTGGCGCACTGCTACAGTGCGCCGCTTGGGAAGCGCGGAGGCGCTCCCGCCGAGGGTTCGGATCCCACATACAGATCGGCCGCTCACTGGCTGAGCGAGGTGCGGGGGCAGCACTGAGGGTTGCGATCCCGTAGCCGGTCCCAGTCCGGTGCGGGCGCGACACTGAGGGTTGCGATCCGTTGCCGGTCAAAAAAAAAAAAAAAAGACAAAAAAAAGGGAAAAAAAAAAAAGTAAAAAGACAACCCACTGAATGGGAGAAAATATTTGTAAATATTATCTGATAGAGGATTTGAATCTAATATATATAAAGAACTTCTACAACTCAAAAATAAAAAGACAACCCAATTTAAAAATGGACAAAGAACTAGAATAGACAATTCTCCAAAGAAGACATACAAAGGACCAACAGTACAGACAGTAAGTGTTGACAAGGATGTGGAGGAATTAGAACCCCCAATACACTGCTGGCTGGAATGTAAAATGGTTCAGCCACTTTGGAAAATAGTCTGGCAATTCCTCAAAGGGTTAAACACATTTACCATATGGCCTAGCAATTCTACTCCTAGGTATACACCCAAAATAAATGAAAACATATGTCTACATACAAATTTATACACATGAATGGTCATAGCAGCATTACTCAAAATAGTCAAAAAGTAGAAACAATCTAAATGTCCATCAACCGATGAATGGCTAAACAAAATGTGTATATCCAAATAGAACAGTATTCAGCAATAAGAAGGAACGAAGTACTGATATATACTACAACACAAATCTTGAAAACATTACGCTAAGTGCCGGGAGTGAAAGACCACATAGTGTATGATTCTGTTTTTTTTTTTTTTTTTTCCTCCTTTCTGTCTTTTTTCGTGACCGGTAACGGGATCGCAACCCTCGGTGTTGCGCCCGCACCGTGCTGAGCCGGTGAGCGGGAACCGGTCTCCACATGGGATCCGAACCCTCGGCGGGAGCACCGCCACACTCCCAAGCGGCACACTCTCCAGTGCGCCACTGGGCCGGCCCGTATCATTCTGTTTTTAGTTGTCCCTTGGTATCTGCAGGGCATTGGTTCTAGAACCTACCCCCACCTCGGATACCAAAATCCCAGATGCTCAAGTCCGTTATATAAAATGGAATAGTATTTGCATATAACCTATGCACATCCTACTGTATATTTTAAATCATCTCTAGATTACTTATAATACCCAATACAATGTAAATACTATATAAATAGTTGTCATACTGTATTTTTTTGTGTGTGTTTTTTTATTGTTGTACTGTTTTTCTTCTTTTTTCTGAATTTTTTTTTTTTTTTTTTTATAAAAATGACCGGTAAGGGGATCTTAACCCTTGACTTGGTGTTGTCAGCACCACGCTCAGCCAGCGAGCTAACCGGCCATCCCTATAGGGGATCCGAACCCGGGGCCTTGGTGTTATCAGCACCGCACTCTCCCAAGTGCGCAACAGGCCGGCCCTTTTTTCTGAATATTTTTGATCTGCAGTTGGTTGAATCCGTGGATGCAGACTCTGTGGTTGCAGAAAACACAGATATTGAGGACTGACTATATATGAAATATCCAAAATAGCTAAATGGATGGAGACAGAAAGTAGATTAGAGGTTGCCTAGTGATGAGGGAATAAGGGTGTTGGTGGGTGATGGCTAAGGTATATGGGGTTTCTTTTTGTGGTGATGAAAATGTTCCAAAATTGTGATGGTGGTTGCACATATAAGTGAACATATTAAAAACCACTGAATTATACACTTTAAATGGGTGACTTGTATGGTATGCAAATTATATCTCCGTAAAGCTGTTACCAAAAAAAGGCTAGGAAATCCACAAGTATAAATGCCTTATGGTAATTACAGAAGTGACTTGAGTCTAAAGGCCAATTTATTGCTCTTATGTAGTTAGAGTAACTTATTAATAAGTCTGTACAGTTCAGGCTTTCTCAACAGTTAGATATTCATAATACTTTATACTTTGGTGTATTGTTTGATATCAAAGCTGTTATTAAAATAAACTAATAACAGCTAATAAGTTTTTTTATTCTTTACAATTGTACATAATGTTATAAACTGAATTGGTGGTTAACCACAAGGACCCTACTAAGCAAAGCATCCTTGCTATATACAGTTCTAATACTACCTATCCTATTTCTAATTTAAGTAGTGTGGACTTATTATCCTAATATTGTCACTGTATTTGAAAGATTATTTTTTCTTTTTCTGTCTTTTTTAATTATGGTAAAATACACATAACATACAGAACATTTTTAACCACACCATTTTAATCATTTTTAAGTTTACAATTCAAAGGCATTAAGTACATTCACAATGTTGAACAACCATCACCACTATCCAACTCCTGACCTTTTTCATCATCCCAAACAGAAACTCTGTACCCACTGCACAAGAGTACCACATTACTCCCTTCCCCCTAGCCCCTGGTAACCTCTATTCTATTACTCTCTGTCCCTATGAATTTGCCTATCCTATGTACCTCCTATAAGTGAAATTGTACAATATTTGTCCTTTTGTATCTGGTTTATTTCATTTAGAATAACGCTTTCAATGCTGTATAGTCACCATGTTGTAGCATGTATCAGAATTTCATTCCTTTTTTAGGCTAAATAATATTCCATTGTGTATAGACCACATTTTGTTTTCCCATTTATCTACTGATGAACACTTGGGTTGTTTCCACCTTTTGGCTATTATGAACAACGCTGCATGAACATCGGTGTACAATTATTTGCTTAACTCCCCACTTTTTATTCTTTTGGGTATATATCTGGGAGTGGAATTGTTCCACCATATGGTAATTCTACGTTTAACTTTTTGAAGAACCACCAAACTGTTTTCCACAGCAGCTGGATCATTTTTTATATTGCTCCTGAGCAATGAGAAAGGGCCCCAACTTCTCTACATCCTGGTTATTTTCTGCTGTTTGATTGTTTTTTTAAAATAATAGCTATCCTAATGGTATGAAGGGGTAACGCAATGTGTGCAATTTATTTTCAGCCTATTATTTGTAAGTCCACTTTAAGACATAAACAAAACAAAAAAAATTTTAAGGGTTTAAATTACACCTCTATTTTAAATAAAAAATATTTAAATACCAACAAAATAGAACACAAGGTTACAAAGATTTTAAGTCACTCCAATTTTGAAAAAGATTAAAAATGACAAAGAATTAAAACATAATACAAAAACCTGTAAATTCTGTTTTACTTATCTAGGACTAATTTCTAAAATACTAATGTTTGTGTAAATAAATATTGTCACAAAGCAGGTTTACGGCTTTGTGATTTATAGAGATGACTGTGAAACAAACCTAGGAGTCACTCCTGAAATAAAGCTTTTAAAAACACATTTATCCCTGGGAGATTGTTGTCACTGCCCTCATTTTAAAGATAAGAAAATCTGAAATCAAACAGGTTTGACAACTTGCCCAAGACCACAAAACAACCCTGTGGCAGAGATTTGGAAAATAACTTCTTATTTCAGAAATCTCCGATTTAAAAAAAAAAAAAAAAAAAAAGCCATATAACGTGCAAAAAGTTAGAGAAACACGGAAGAGCAATTTCCACTCTTTAAGCATGAATAAACTTAGGGACACTGCCCAGTGCACTGAAGCTTACAATCTACAGCAATGACCATTAATTAACTCCTTGCCAGCTGTGACTTGAATGTGCGGCCAAACTGGAATCAATTTAGAACTTTTTTTTTTTTTCCCCAGCGTGATCTAATAACAAACACTGACTCTAACTTTGTCTCTCAAATGTTTTCATTGTTTTGTTAAATTTTGGCTGTTCAAAAGCAGGATAAGTCTATTGTTAAATTGACAAAGCATAAGTTGAAGCAACCAAAGAAAACAGAATTGCTTCTTGACATCATTGCTTAAATGATATGTAGAAAGTGTTACTTTTCTTTCCTGCAACCCACACACTAAACAAGATAGTTATTATTTACTCTCAACCCAATTTGATTCAATCGTTTTTAACTAATTTTTTTTTTAAGGAATATTCCCAGGGACCATATGAAAGAAATGCATACTGAAGTAAGCAGGGGTGAAATGACCTGACTCAGATTTGCTTTAAATACTTCGAAAAAGGAAAAGAAAAAAAGTATAGATGACAAAAACTGACAACTGCCGAATGCTGGTGATGGTAGACGGGTTTATCTCACCTTTCCTTTCTTTTGTCTATGCTTAAAAGTTTTTCGCAATAACTTTTCAAAAAATAAATTATTTCCAAACGAAGTTGCCGTTCTGGTTATTAAACACGAGTCACTGAATGTGAATGCTCTTGTCCTCGAAACCAGACCATGCGAAGGGTCTCAAAAAGAGGCGAGGGATTCTCTGGCGGGGCCGAGTTGGGCTCCACACCTCTCGGGCTCGCACCACCACGAGGGCCCAAAGCGCGCACGTTTCCTTCAAGGCTGAAATGTGACAAATCCCTCCATGAGCTCTAGGGTTCGGAGGGCCGCCGAACTCTGTTTGGAAGTGGCGCACGCGTTTTCACGCCGGCGGCTCAGGGAAACCCGAGAAACTCCCGCTAGAGAGTTCCCAGGTCTGCTAAAGACGCACTGCCCCCCACCCCGGACCTCCTAAAGAGAGTCCTTGCACCACTCCCTCAGTCACCCACCACCAACCTCCACCCCGCCCGCCTCCTACCTTCCAAGTCCGCGTCGTCCTCCGAGTCGCTCTCTGTGTTCGCGTCGGCGACAGTGTCAGGGCCGGGCTCAGGCGTGTGGAAGTCCGAAGGAGGGGCAGCAGGCGGGACTGAGGCTTGGGCGCGGGCCTCCCGCTGGCGGGTGAAGTAGTCTACTGCGAAGTCGATGAGGTCAGGCGGTTGCTGCCGCAGCACCTCCACGGTGTAGCCCTGCAGCAGCTCCGTGAGCCCCGGTGGGATCTGGATGTGGCTCATGCCGGCGGCGGGCGCGGAGACCGGCAGATCAGGTACGCCGGCGAACACTGCCTCCGCGCTCCCTCACGCCGGCCTCTCGCTCGGCGCCTGCGAGGTCCCCTCAAGCGCAGCCCTAGTCCGGTCTTCTTCGTGTCGCGCCACTCTTTGGCCGGTTCTGCGTTTCCCGGCCACGCAACCCTCGGCGGGTCTGGCACCGCCGCTGTCACTGGGCCGCCGTCGCCGCAGACAGGACCGACGGGCAAGAGAGAGGGACGGGTGGGGCGGGCGCTCGGTTTGTGACGCATGCGGCCGCAGGCGTGCGCGCCCCCGCTGAGTGCCGATCTCCAGTGCGCGTGCGCCGCTGGGCAGCCCGCCCGTGGGTAGGAGGCGCGGGGCAAGACTGCAGACTCCCAGCAAGGAACTCAGGAATTGGGTGACGAGTGGTCTACTCGTAGTCATGAAGATCTTTCATTTATTTATTTTTTTAACACACACTAAGAGCCTCCTGTTTGCCGGCATTTACTGAGCGCTAAGGACGCAGCCAGACGGAGTATGGTTCTGGCTGTGGTGGAGGGCAAGAGGGCCCACTTTAGGAGGTGACATTCAAGCTGACCCAGAGGCCTGAGCAGGACCCGACCATAGGAAGATCTGGAGGAAAGCCATTCCGATCACAGAGCACAGCAAGAGCAAAGGCCTGGTCGAGTCAGGTTTACCCTTGCTGCCAGGTGGAATGGTGGAATGACCATAGGATCCTTAGGTGTCTGCCAGGAAGTCTGTGAGATGTCAAACGGAAAAGGCCTTGTAGGAAGTAGGAGTTTCAATGCAATAGTAATTTGAGGGCCACAGGCAGATAAATAAGCTTGGAAGAGCAAACTTGTACACTGAGAAAAGGGAATAAAGCCCAGAGCAGGAACGACCTCTGTGCCTGTTCCTCCTCTTAAGCACTCCCACCAGGGTCCCCAGGTCTAGGCCGGTACACCCCTACTCTCCCCACACTCCATCCTGGGCCAGCAATGCTTGATGAAGTTGAGCAAATCATAAGGCAGTGTTATCCTTTGCCCATGGAGAGGAGGCATACATGAACTTGAGAGGCCAGGCTATTTATTTCCCAAGTTGCTTGCCTTGTCCCACCAGATTTTAAGGAAATAGAAAATGGTGGAAACCTTGCTGGGATGTGCATGCCACAGCCTAGGTGCCGACCAAAGGCCCTGCGGGCATAGCAGAGTCCTCCCTCTTCTTCCCAGGCCCAGTCAGGAAGTGACTAGCTGTAGGCTTGTGAACCTGAAGGGCTTTGGGATGGTTAAGCACCACCTGGTAATTACCCAGTATTAATTAAAATCCTCACTAGCACCTCCCGTACAGACTTGGCACACACCCAAGAGCTCACTGCTGCTGAGAACTGAGCTGCTTGGTAGCAAGAGCACCTTTTTCCCACTGATGCAGATGCCAGTCCAGGCTCTAGGCTAGGCAGGCCTGTGATTACAAACAGCAGTATCTCCCTGGACAAGTTCCTTGATCCTTGAAAGTAGTCTTGGACCATAAGCTTTGGAGCGGGGGACAGTGTTCAATTCATTCCCTCCTAGGTCCCTACTGCACACTCTTGGAGAAGGTTTACTGAGTGAATGATAAATTTCAACATAGCATGCAGAGCCAATGAAACAGCTGTCCTTCCTGACCTCACAGTCTCAGAACTGGGATCCTTTGCTTCAAAAGCTGGGCTCCTGATTTCAGTATATGAAGACCTCACTAAGGACAGGCAGTGAGGGGCTGGAGGTGCAGGGTCCCTCAGCTCTTCTCTGCTCTTGTGTAGACTGACCCTTCCAAGTTTTCCAGAGATCAGCCCTTGACAGTGATACCCAGGAAACCTGGGTGTGACTCCAACTGTACTGCCATACCTGGAGATCTGCACCTCTTCAAGCAGTCCTACAGCCAACCCTTTGGAAAGACAAATTCACACCTCCACTCCCTAGTTTGTCCATATTGTCAGGTTTTATGTTTTGTTTTTTAAAAGATGACCAGTAAGGGGGTCTTAACCCTTGACTTGGTCGTGTTAGCACCACACTCTCCCAAGTGAGCTAACCGGCCATCCCTATATAGGGATCCAAGCCAGTGGCCTTGGTGTTATCAGCACCACACTCTCCCAAGTGAACCACGGGTCAGCCCGGTTCTATATATTTTAAAGGGGAACAGGCACCTGCACAGTTAGGACTCTCACCTCAATTACAAAATAGAGGAAAGGAGGGCTATTCCAGGGCTGAGGAAAGAGCTGAGTGTGGGCAGTTTCTCCCAGTTGCTCCAAGAAACTCTCACCAGCTGGCCTCTGCCAGAAGCAGGCTGATCTGCCTGACTTGTTTTCAGATGCTGTACAACTCAAACGGCTGGCCAGCCAGCAAACAGCATTCAAAAGGCAACCTAGAAGGAGTGAGGGCTACAGAAAGCAGGAGCACTGTCTCACCTGTCTTTATAGACCAGCCTCAGAGTAAGGATAGACAGCTCCTTACTCTGGTCCAACCTGGCTCCCTCCCCCAGCACTTGGTCCCCAGAGCAGGAGTCCATCTTTGCTCCTTCTGGCAAATACATCAGTAACAACTGGAGCCCCAAGCACCTTCATGAATACCCAATTGAACTGGCCAAAGAGGGCCTTGTAACAGGAGAAAATACCTAGGGCCTGAGCCCCGCATCTCCCACCCTTATCCTGGATTCATACTGCCTGCATTCAGGCCTGTCCAGCTACACGCTGGAGGTTACCATGGCAATCAAACCCACAGGTAGCCAGTAACTGGGAAACAGCCATCAACACCAAGTGACAGTTGGTGGAAAAGGCCAAGAGCAAAGACCCTCAGAAATAAGAGAAATAGGGGCCGGCCCGGTGGCGCACTGCTACAGTGCGCCGCTTGGTAGCACGGCGGCGCTCCCACCGAGGGTTCGGATCCCACATACAGACCGGTTCCCGCTCACTGGCTGAGCGAGGTGCGGGCGCAACACCGAGGGTTGCGATCCCGTTGCCGGTCCCGGTCCGGTACGGGCGCGACACTGAGGGTTGCGATCCGTTGCCGGACACGAAAAAAGACAAAAAAAAAAAAGAAATAAGAGAAATACAGAGGAAGAGTCTCCAGAGCCCTGACGGTTGCTCCACTCCAACCTAGTCCTACTCACAACTCAGGAGGTAGTCAATATCTTGCACAAACTGCCACACCATCAACACAGGCACACACATAGATACAATGGGGCCAATTCTCAGAGAGGTTTACAACTACAGATGCAGAGTAGCACAAGTGGGACACGTTGTTCAGCCCATCAACCATTGGTCTTGTGAAAAAGAACATGGGTATGGTACCTACAGCTGTTTCCAATGACACAGTGGATTTTTATAAACACTTGATAGGTTATTTAAGATTTTTTCCTCCTCTCTCTTTCTCTCTCCTGGCAGGAGAGGCCCAAACTCCCCTGGACTCCTATGGAGGCCTGCTGTTGGCCCAGACCGCCAAGCTTATATACCTTATGCCCTCTCATGCACGCTGCCTACTGAGGGGACTCAGCCCCAGCAGGAACACCTCCTTCCTATCCAACCTCTCTAAGCCACTCTGGTCCCCCACATATCTCCTGGAACCTGATGGTCACCTGACTTCCTCTGCATGCCAGCCCCTTCCTGACTTAGTCCTCCCATATCATTTAGCTCCTACCACAACCAGTTTCTTTTTCACCTTAGAAGTGCTCATGAGCCTCCAGTTAGCAGGAGATATTGGGGAAGTGGGCTATGTTTCTTCTGTTCTCACCCAAGCTATACTTCAGCCTCCATAGTGCTTCCCCCATGAGGCCACTGCATTTGTTCCAGGAAGTCTGATCTATTTTAACAAGCACCCATGCTCCAGGGAGCAGTTAATTCCAAGGCCACCTGTTTCTATACCTGTGAGCCAACCCCTTCCCTGGGACACTGTGTCCTGACAAAGTATCAACCTCTGCAGTGAACCAAGGGTCTGCCTCTGAGACACCTCAGAGCAAGAACAGAATCTGGGAAGCACGGGGGAGCCTGGCTGGAGAATCACATGTTTGCATGCTTACCATAGCATAGAAAGAAAAGGAAGCCCTCAGGGAACAACTGGCCCTGGGGCCTTCCCACTGCCTGTCAGGACTCTGTATGCCACTTCTGGCCTGACAGGCCAGATCCCTCAGCGTTAACACTGCCAGACAGGCCTCCTGTAGCCTAGGCCAAGCAGCCCCAGAATAGCCTTTGATAGAATCGTAGGTCTTTCTTCAGGACACCCAGACACCAGTTCCCAGTCTATTATCAACTTGCCAATGAGATTTTCAGATCAGTTTATCCTATCTGAGCCTTGGCTTCTGCATCTGAAAGCGTGGATCAAAATCCCTACCCATTAAATATTGAGTTACATGGGGATATAGAAATGAGAGAATAAACCCATGAGGAGGTTAGAAAAGGTACAGGGGTTCCAGCCTCAAAAGGCTGTAGGGAAAGAACTGTGGGGTAGAGATAGCATGACCTTATAGCAGAAATGGTGCTTACTGTGCTTTTAACAGGTCACCCTCTGTCTCTCACCCTTGGCCCAGTTATACCCTTCTTGGTGCCTGGGTGAGGCTTTTTATCACCAGTTGGTTGTTTTAACAATCACTGTCTTACTTCCATTTAAGACTGTGACAGTCAGAGAAATTACTGGAAGGGCCCCAATTCCCCCTCCCCCTTACCCCTGTCAGGGAGAGAAGAAATATATAAGGAACAGGTGGCATTTCAAAGTGCGTAAGCCCCAGCCAGGAGGGAGTTACTCACCATCTGCTCTGCTCCCTTCACAAATATGCTGCCAGGGGCTTCCCTATTTGACTTAACATCTATTTAATATCCAAAGGAGTAAAAGAATCTACCATCACTAACATCAAGGAGCCGAAACACTCCATTTTAAAATGGAAGATGTTTCAAAGGGCAAGTTATCCAGAAGCACAGACTATAAAAGTGAGTTTAAGCTACGGCATTTGATTGGAATTCAAATACACTCTTGGGGGCCTCCAGGCAAAAGCCAGGGTTTGAGGACTGTCTCAAGGACTGGGTGGCATCAAGCACTTCAAGAGACACATGACAGTATGGTTAGGGCAATTGTCGGCATCTTGCCAACTGCCGATATAGCCAATTGTATTGCTACGTGACAACGCCAATTGACTGGCTAGGCAATTCATAAC